CCATGTCACTGGCTGGGGAATGCCCACCTTGTGTGTCCCTCAGACTTATTACTGAATATTTTAACCCAAAGAATGATGAAGAATGTACCCAGGAGATCCAATCCCCAACAAGTCTTCTTTAGGGGTTTTATTAACCCTCCTGCCCATCTTCCACTCCAATTCATAGTGAACACGTGGACTTTTCTTGGCCAGTAGAATAGTGTTTCAGCCACTATTTAACCTCTTTATGTTCCTGTTTCTCTGTAAAGATGGGAAGAGTAATGGTACCTTCTTCATAGTTTGGTTAATGAGGATTAAATTAGCTAATTTATGTAAAATGCTTAAAACAGAGGCTGGCACATAATATGCATTACAGAAGTGTTAGAATTGGCATTACTGCTTTTGTTCTTTAGAAAACAAGCGCATTGTTCTCCAGTGTAACTGTCTTGATGGATGCGCTGCGGTCCTCCTTTGCTCTGTATGGCCTCCAATTATACCAGATTCCTGTTGTGCCACAATAATTTTTAAGACATGTAATGCCTGACTATTTAGTCAGAGGCTCTTTTCCCTTAGATTGTCAAATAAAAAAATTACAACAGCCAACACAATAGCCATCCATGTGAATGAATCGAAATTATACCTATTGTTTTTGTCAAATCAGCAAAAAAATTAATTTTTTGGTGTGCCACAAAATTTTAGTAATTAGTTTATGTGTGCCACGAGATGAAAAGAGTTGAAAATTGCAATTCTAAATGACTGACAAACAGCATTTTAACACACATCTTCATTCATAAGCTGAGGACTGCCTATTTTAATATTTTGGTTTTATATTCATTTAAAAATCAGTGTAGATGAAATTCACAAAATAATGCCTGCTTCTTTGAGATTCATTGTTGGATCATTTCATGTTTAGCACCTCTTCTTATGAAAGTACTAGAGGCCTGATGCACGAAAATTCGTGCAAGAGTAGGCCTTCCTCTCCCTAGCTGCTGGCACTGGCTTCCCTCCGGCACCCGGGACCCAGGCTTTGCTCTGGGTCCGGCTTCATCCGGAAGGACATCTGGAATGACGCCCATAAGGACATTCCATCTAATTAGCATATTACCATTTTATTATTATAGATTTGGCATGAGAGGATGGTAGAATATGGATAGCGGGTGTGTAAAAATTCGAAACATTAATTATCCTATTCTAACATTATAGTTGGAAAATTAAAAACATGTATTTATTTTATAATACAAACTACAGAAGATAAATAACAAGTCCCCTGAATGGCAGGAATAGGGAGAAAATAAAGCAAGAAAGCCTTTAGTGGAAGCATACATTAAGGTAATGCACTATGTTCTCCTGGGCTATAAAATCTAATTTGTTTTGCTGTGTCCTTCTGCACAGTATATGAGCTTTCTGTTTAAATAAAAATATGCATATATTTTAAAAATAACATTGAATTTTATATATACTGTAATAAAGTATGAAAGCAGACAGCAGGGACATCTTCTGTCTGCATCGGTTAGCATTTGTCCTTTACCCTGTGTGGGTGGCATTAGACTGTTGTCAAGGAAGATGACGTAAACCTTCCCAGAATGTGTTGAAGTTAGGCCAAAGACACGGTGCTTGGAAATCAAAGGTGGTCTCAGCCTTCGAGTTTCAGACACATGTGGGGGTCCAGACCAGCCACCCCAGCCTTCACACTCCACAAGTGTGGGACCAAGTGTTCATGTCAAAACCTTTCATTTTGAGTTACCTTGTTTTTCTTTTGAGGTAGTTAAAAATGGCATTGAAATTTTTTGACAATGTCATATATGGATTCGTGCCAAAAAGATGGTGTGTTTACTTTTCAGTATGTTGAAGTTCCAAAACTGTTGTGGAATTATGACAGAAATTCTTGATTTAAATGATATTTTAGTCAAAATATTTTTAGAGCACTTTCTGTATGTTTATACATTTGTTTTTCCTGCCTATAGGATGGGGCAGAATATCAGAAATCTACCAAGTGCTGAAGGTTTTGCATGAGTCAGCTTTTTCCATCAGCATGATTAAGACACCAGCGAAAGCCAGCCTTTCATGGTGGAGAAACTCGTGAAAATTTGCACTCGCCAACTGCCAAAATTTCCTTTGAAGAAGAATCTAAGAAAAGAAAAAATCCAGGTTGTTGTTTACACCAGTCCAATTTTTCAATCAAATAATGATTAGCTAAATTAGCTTAGGACATCAAACTTCAAGTTTTGCAAAAAATAAATGGTTTAACACCCCTCTTTTCTCTGTTACTTGTGATAAACCAATTGAAGAAACTGAGCCTAATAATTTGACTAAGCACAATATTTAAGATGCTGGTGGAAAAGAAATGTGGTTTTCTCAGGTCTCAGAGATCATCACCAAAGCTGATGATATTTTAGAAACCATGTGAAAATTCTTCAAAGTAAATTGGCCAACAGGAGAAAGTATTGATGGGGTTGTGCCTGTGATGCTCCAAACATGTTGGGCTTTGCAGGTACTGAGTGAGAAAATCAAAGGGAAATACTCATTTCTGGAACTCGCTTTGCCATGCCTTGTCAGTGGTACCTTTGAAAACTCTGCCTGGGAATTGATAAGAAAAGCCTCAACTATCGGTAATTATGAGAAAGGCTATGTGTGGGTCAACCCACCTGCTTGCTGTGTGTGGAGAGCTGAATGCCCACCAGAAGGTTCCGCTGCCCTGACGTGTATGGATTGGCAAAGGGGAATAAGCATTTTCACCTGCAGCAGGAGGCAGTTTTTTTGGAAACTCGAAAAAAGACATACAGCCTTAAACATCCTAACACGATCTCTTTCAGCAAAGCTTTCCATATTTGACAGCTATATTTGAAAGTTTAAATATAAACTTCCCCTTATTAAAATATTTAGAGCCCAAATTAAATTGCTAATATTCATTGTCTTTTTGTACATTTTTTCAATGAAAACTTTCAAAGACAGGGTCCTTAAAATGAATTTCATAGAAAAAAATAAGTGTGTATCCAGTGTGGTACAGGCTGAATTTAGGAACTATTCCCTAAATGCCATGGCTGCAAAATCTCATTCAGAGCTTATCAAGAAACTCCTTCCCCCTAATATTCAATCTGTGCCGGAAAACGTCTCCAAGAAGAAATTTTACAGTTCAAGCTTTTGCCAAAGAAACTTCCGGAAAATCACTTCAGAATTCCTTGTAGAAGGCACTGCTGAGCATAGCTATGATGGTCCCCCCTTCCTAAGGGCAAGCAAATTTTCTCTGGGTGCACACCCTCGGCCCTGGGAAACCAGTGCTGGAGGCGGAGGCACCACCTCCCGTGTCAGTGATGGGGCTGCAGCTGCCCTTGCTCAGCCGCACAGCACAGTGGCCCGGTCACATCATAGTCCAGCGCTGACGTTATGATGGAAGCAGGCCAATCAGTGACCCTCAGATTTCTCAGGGATTGGCAGGCAGACCTCCTCCCTGTCTCCTACTGGATTTGAAGTGGGACAGGCCTCAAGATAAAACTCTCCATGCAAAAGGTAGAAAGCCAGGGTCCCTGCATCATCTATCTGAGTCATCGCACCGACCTTCAGGGGAATCTGCCCACCTCCGGACACCCATCGTGGGAGCCACTGCACCCCCTCTGTCATTGAGGCTGGATTGCTAATCACTTGCCACATAAGGAATCTCTGCTGCATCTGAATTTGGTGCCCAGAGGTGGGTGTGGCGAATCAAAAAACCCTAAAGTGCTGACCTACCTGGAGAACAGTGAGGACCCCTCTAGCCCAGTTTTGAAACTGGCAGTTCTTGCTACACGCCTGCACAATGACGAATCAAGCTGTCTTCAATGACATCTTAGGAAACAGGCCATGTATCCACCAAGACAGTATTAGGGGACTTGGTAGGAAATGTTCTGGAATATGTTGGCCAGTTTTTATAGTCTTGCATAAGGTTTTAAAAGAAAAAGCAAAAACCAAAAAAGGTGGCCAAGAGAAGCCAGAGCCAGCAATCCCTGTTGCCATGACAGAGCCTTAACAGATGCAATCACTTTGGAGACTTTCCAGGCAAAATATCTCACCTTAAAACAAGGGGGAAAGCATCCTTGTTGTTATCCCGTATTTGCCCACTGATATTTGATCTTTTTCCTTATTGTGAACTTTGAAAACAAAACAGCCCAACAAACCAGATATCAGAAGGGTCATGGTAACCTCCCTCCTGCCTTCCCTTTACACAGGACAGATGTCAGCTTCCAGCTCACTCGGTGTTTCCATGAGCTGACACTTTTTTAAATGTATCTTTAACAATAAAAAATCCTTTTCTTCTCTTTTTACCACTGCGTTGATCTGTTTTTTTACCATGTTACTTGTTTTTGAAATGCCTTGCTAACATTAAAGACAAGCATATCATTTTTTTTCTCAAAATGGGGATAGATTTTGAAGTTTGAGAACATTCTGCTGGAGCATCTAGAAGCTGCTGGGATATATTGTCAAAGGGACCCCAACTGAAAATAATTGAAAGACTACAGAACAGAAATGTTTGACAGAGAAAGTAAGGATGAATTTAATTTACAAAAAAAAAATCACTTTAACTTTTATACAACTTGTCTATTTTAAAAGGCAAAAGTAATTGAACTGATTTCCACGTGTAGCCTTCTTCCTGCCAAAGTTTTCAAAGCGTGTTTTGTCTAATGAGGATAATACGCGTACCTTGCTTTTCAGGAGCTCCAGGGAGCTCAAAGCATTTCCCACATATTGTCTCATTATTCTTGATTCTATCCCCAGATACTTTATGCACGCTCTCCTGCATTTGTGAAAGGGTTAGAACTCAAAATGGAAAATGACAATGACACCAAATCTCCTGCAGCTCTTTCTTTAAATGCTGCATGTAAATATGTGTGTGGTGTATCGGTCTAGGCTCTTGCTTGCAAACAACAGAACTCCCACTGCAACTAGATGAAGCAGAAAAGGGAGTGATTAAAAGGTAGAGAATGGATCACCAAAATGCTTGGGAGCCAGAGAGAGTCGGGTTCACAGGCAGGCCACCCCAAACCTCATTGCTGCAGGGACTTTTTTAATAGACTTTATTTTTAGAACAGTTTTAGATTTATAGAAATATTGAGCAGACAGAACAGAGAGTTTCTATATGTCCGGTACCCAGCTTCCCTGATTATTAATATCTAACATTAGTGTGGTACATTTGTTACAAACGATGAACCCAAATTGATCCCTTGTTATTAATGTTATTGTTATAAAGTCCCTAGATTGTTCGGAGTTCCTCCGTGTTCGCCGAACATTCATTTTCTGTTGCAGGTGCCCATCCAGGCCTCCACGCTGCGTTCAGTTGTCATGTCTCCTTAGGCTCCTCTTGGTTGTGACAATTTCTCAAGTTCTTGTTCTTAATGACCTTGACAGCCTTGAGGAAAATGTCAGGTATATTGTAGGATGCTCTTCTGTCAGAATTTGCCTGATGCTTTTCTCATGATTAGATGAGGGTGGTGGCTTTGGGGAGGAAGACCAGAGAGGTAAATTCTGTTTTCATCACATCCTACCATTGGTCCACCTTACCAACATGACTTACCCCTGTTGATGTTGACCTTGATTGTTTGGCGGAGGTAGCACTTGCCAGGTTTTTCCACTGTAATGTGACTGCCATCCCTTTTCCACCGTTCACTGCCAGGTTCTTATTTAGTCTATTTCCCGAGTGGCAGATCAGAGAACTGCAGAGAGCATGCGTCGTGATCACTAAGAGCCCCAGGGACTGCTGGTCATCCCCTGCTGCCTCCTCCCTGGAAGGTGGGCATCTTATCTCCCTCATGCGTGCATCCTCCGCAGCCCCACACAGTGCCCTGCACGCAGTAGGCACTTATAACTCTTTAAGGACTTTGAATAGAGTTGAGATTCACCTGATAGTTAATTAACTCAGCCGTGGGATGCTGGTAGGAAAGTGAGGGTAAAGGCTACAGAGGGGAGAGTGGCTTGGCTGGTGAACACCCACCCCCAGGAGTGGCCGGGTCCCAGGGATCTATCTGATCTTGACCTTGTCTCATTCTGAATTTTAAAGACCTACTTGGGAAAGGCTGACTCAGTCACGTGGGTTTTGGGGGATTTTTTTCCTCCAAGTGGCAGAGGTTCTCCCAGGGCCCTCAAGTTAGGGGGTGGAATTTATTGTCACAGCAGCATTAGGATGACAGGATCTCCTGAAAGTTCAAGACCATGGCATGTGGTTGGGCCAGGCCTTGGCAAAACTGGAACTGAGCATCCCATGGGCCCAGAACATCGTGATCTGGACTCGGGGAGTTCTCTGCTAAAGGTTAGGCAACCTCTGTCTGGTCTCTCTGTGGCCACCCACTGGCTGGCTGCTTTGCCTTCTACCCCATGTCCCCAAATCTTCCACTCACAGAACCCCGACAAGCCAGTGACCATCATGGTCCCTGCTTTACCTGCAAATCTCGTCTTTGACTTTACCTTCTGCTCTGACCTGATGAATTCTGGAAACTAGGACAAGGATTGGCTCTGTACTCTCCTTACTGGTCAAGAATCTCTGTGCCAGTCCCTTTTGCAGGCTACTGTATGGACGTCTCTTGGGTTGGGAGTCCAGCCAACCTTGGCCAACTCAGCTGAGGCCCAGAGGGCAGCCAGCAGGCCTGGGAGTGGGGTAAGTTCCTGAGATGGGGCAATGGCATGCCCAGCAGCAGGGTCTGGATGTCACCCCAAAGACATGGGAACAGGCTTGCCTAACTTGTAGCTGAAACACAGCCAGGAAGGAATCTCCGAGCAGCACAGAGGGGACCTGCTGAGGTCCTGCCTGCAAATGCCTCACCTCCAGTCCCGTCCCCACTCAGTTTTCCGGATGTCAACATTAACTTCAGGGCAGCCTTATTCACCAGAGTAAGCTTTTATAAGGTTAACCGATGCTAATTGTCAACCATCTTTCTCCAGACTGGGTTTTCTCCGTCTATTTTTAAGTGAGTTGTTTCACATGTTGAGGGGGTGGGCGAACACAAAGCAACCCTAAAGTCACTGTTTACAGAGACTCCTGAGGTGGCACAAGATAGAAAGCAAGAAGTAACATGTTGGTTCAATGACATGCAGTGCAGTGGTGGATTGAGGCTTCTCAGCACCCGCCTGTGCCGCAGCCTCAGCCTCCGTCACCCACTTCCCTGCCAGAAGCCCCGCCTTGCAGTGTGGGCGGTGGGGGAGCGCCTCTTTGTTCCTTTCCACCTTGCACAGCATGTTCTCCCACAAGTAATTTATTCCCATCTTAGAACAGGGATCACTGTGGGGGCAGCAGTGGAGTCAGTGTGCCTACCTCCTGCTCCCTCCCTTTGGAGAGAGACCTGGAAAGTGCTGGAGAGCAGCCAACTCTCGCAAGTGGGGTGGGACAGCGAATGCCTGACCCTGACCCAGGGTTGGAGACAGCTGACTCCTGACACTGACCCAGGGGGGTGGGGACAACTGACTCCTGACACTGACCCAAGCATGGAGAACCCCACACTCACAATCCATGCACTGGAGACACACACACACACACACACACACACACACACACACACACACACACACATGGCTGAGGCCTCTCTCCCAGGATCTTACATGCAGGATCACTGGAACATTCTCACGGCCACCACCTGGTCTGAGCCCTTCTGCCCTGGACTTTCAAGGTCTGGGTTCTTCCACTGACACCCTTCTTCTCTTGAAAACACCACTGAGTTCATTAGAAAATGGAGACTAAAGGGAGCCCCGGGAGTAGGGGACAGAGGTGATCAATGTCCCAACTCTTCAGCCCACCCGAGCTCCCTCCCACTTAGCCCAGCTCACTGCAATGGCCTCCTGTCCCCTCCCCTCCCCTCCCCTCTCCTCCTCAGGCTGCTCCAGCCAAACTTCCTGAGTCACAAGCATCTGAACATATTGTGTCTTTTTTCCACCCCACCCCCCGCCCCCATCTGTCATTCCTCCCACCTGGAATTTCTCCTTCTAGGCGTCACTACCCTCCTCTGGCCCAGCTCAGGGCTCCAGGAGGGACATGGAGGGGACAGAAAGAGGCTGAGCTCAGGTTTGCAAATGACAGCAGGACGCCTGGGGAGGACTCAGGGTGGGAGCGCTGCGGGAGGGGCTCGGGCCAGATCCCCGGATGGGGTGTCCTCACGGATAGCAGCAGCCCAAAGCCAGGGACCGGCCCAGCACATCTCAGCTGGCCCCTCCATCACCCGATGGGCCTGGCTTCATCCTACAACCAGCGACCCCCTCCCAGGCCTGGGCGCAGCAGGAGTGGCGGCCTAGGGTGCCCAGGAGGAGACTCTGGACCTTGTATGAGGCCACAGCCAACTCAGAATCCCAGAGGCTGTGTGTGTGCTTCCCTCCGTCCCTCCTGGAGCCCCGGTGAGCTGTCACCTGCTTCGCTGATGGGGACTCATGACTGAGCTGAGAAAAGCTCAGAACAGGGCCGGGCGCAGAGCAGGCTGCATTATATAAGCGTTTGCTTAAAAAGGACAGGGAGGGAAGCATCCGCTGGGACGGATGTGCCATGCCTTTCGGGTACAGTTGGTGTGACATGTGGAATCTTTAATTGGCAGTAATGCACCCTCATCCCTCCGGTCTCCCCGCATTCCCCACGTGGCTGAGGGGCCCTTCTCCAGGAGGGGGTTGTTCCGTAACAGCAACGGACAAATTCCTGCGGTGGGTGTCAGGTCTGAGATGGAAAGACAATAGGCCACTCGGGAATTTTGTGTAGTGTGGTCTAATGTAAATTTGACGTGGACTTCAGTGGTTTTTGTTTTGTTTTCATTATCCCGTTCACAGGGCGGTCCTGCAAAACACATTTCCGCAAACTGAAATGAATGAGCAATTATTTAAGACTGTCACCAGGTTACGACAAATTGTCAAACATGGCAGTTCTCCCAACTGAAAACTCGATAAGCTCAGATGTGTATTTTCAGATATTACGGTTACGTTTGCTTCTCTTAAAGCCTATGAAGTAAAATTTAAATAAAATCTGGATTGGGGTATAAATAATATGTTTAAACTTTTTCTTAAAGAACCCACTAGGGGAGGGACAGGCACATTGAGAAAGCCACACGCCAGAGAGCCGGCACACCAGCAGGCCACCTCGCTTGCCTCCAGGCAGTGAAGGAAGCAGACTCGGAAAGTGGTTCGGATGGAGCAGGAACTGAGCAGGGTCTGGGAGGATGGGGTGGGGAAGACAGCCCTCCAATGAGGATAATTATGCAGGGGGTTGGGAAGTGAGGGAGCTGTTCTATAGCTTGATTATGATGGTGATTGCATTATTATACACATTTGTCAAAAATCATAGACCAGCTTCTGACATACATTATATAATACTATAATTACACTAGACTGTGTAATTATTATACTGTATATTTATGTTGTATATAAATATGTGTTATATATTTATAAATTATACCATGTAATTATTATACCATGCACAACACTAGAGAATACTATTCTGATTCTATAAATTCCATTACATCACATAAAGAATAACTAGATCAAACTCAATGAACTGACAGAAAATTCAGACATCAGGCCCGACTGGTGTGGCTCAGTGGTTGAGCATCGACCTATGAACCAGGAGGTCACAGTTTGATTCCTAGTCAGGGCAAATGCCGAGGTTTCAGGCTTGATCCCCAGGAGGGGGTGCGCAGGAGGCAG